AATTTAAAATTTTTAACTTGAATATTTAAGATTTTAATTACTAGGACATGCTTGGTGACAATGGGATATTTGCCAATACTTTAAGTGGCCTAGTGTTAATTTGTTCATTTACTAAGATTAAGAGGACTTGAGTTAAAAGTCATTAAGAGGCAACTGAATGAATGAAAGTGGGTGGTCTCCTATTTTGCAGGTTAGAAAAAAAACATCTCAAGGGTATTTAATTTAGATAAAAGTCATGTTTTTATTTTTATTTTTTTAGGGATAACATAGGTATCCAAGCATTTAATTGAACTAATCTCCTAATTACTTGCAAATTGTTTTGTTCATAGGGACCAAGTAAAATTTCATCTTCTGTGACGATAGACGTGATTTATATTGAAATTGTTTGCATTTTAGTGAGAATAGAGGGACGTGAACCTACATTCTCAAGGAAAGCTTGCATCAATTCTTATTACTTGAAACTTTATTAAAAAAAAAAAAAATTCTTATGACTTGAACCAACCTCATTGGTACAAGGATGGATTGCAAATTGTGTTTGAAAATGCAAGTTCATGTCTTTTTATTATCATTTAGATACAAATAATTTTGATAAATCACATCCAATTGTTACCCTTGAAAATAAAGCTTTACTAATACGGTAATACCCATGAGATTATTGATATCAAGGGATTAGATATATATGTTATTAAAAAAAATAAAAGAAAAACGAGGAATGAAAAAAAGGAGGAAAAAAGAAAAATTGAGGAAGAGTTAGAAAACGTTTTGTACATTAAGAAACATCATTTATTGAACCCACTCAGTTTGGTTTAAATGATACAATGTATGCCAACTACGCGTAAAAACATAAGTTTGAATCTTTTTGTTGTTATCAAAATAGGAATAGTTTTAGTGAAACACGTCTCCTAAAATTAAAGATATGTCCAACACTTACTATTAGGACATTAAAGAATTTATAAGTACTTCTGAAGTTAATTACCGAAGGAACCACTATAATGCTCTGATTGCTCTCATTGCATTTGGAAACATTGTCACACAAAATTTTTAATTTTATTTTGATACAATAATTATTTTATCCTAATTATAGAAAACCATTTCATGTTTCGAAGGTCTTCAGAAGTTTACAGAAGTCCACCTGAATCTGATAATAATTTTATGTTTCGAACAAAGTGCCCATAAAGTATGGCGTTTGTTTCCGATTTGTAGAGGCACCCAGGTCATCTCATTCTCATCCGGTCATCCCCTTCCATTACTGTTTCGAAGATTCCTTACAGACACACGTGGATGCCAGCCTTTATGACATCCTGACATGGCACCTTAGGATTGGTCCAGACCAATTTCCTCGGTAACAAACAATAATGATAAAAATAACGATTTTATAAAACAAAAATAAAAAATAACAGGTATGATAAGATCAAATTAATTATTTTATACCTTACATTTTGACTTTATAACACTTACCATATTTCGTTTTCGTTTCATAAAATCGTGTCCTTTGTTATTATCTCATTACAAAATATTGCTGCCTTCCTCATCCAACACTGTCCTAAAACATATCCTCGAAAAACAAAAAAAAATACTGTCCTAAAAAGTGTTCAAAATTTCAAGTATTGTTAAAAAAAAAACACTGTCCTGTCCTAACTCCTAAATCTCCGGCTACGTGTCATTATATTATTTGACCATATAATTGAATATTAAAGGTTTGGTATTCAAAGATTATAGTAGTAATTAATTTCGTATCTCGCGCATTCGTTTTCCACAATCAGACCGAAATGTGGGACCCCCGTACGATTATGCGTCGACTTTCTGCTTAGTTTATTGAAAAAAGTAATTAGAACTTTAAACTCAATTGTTCGAACTCAAACTCTAAGTGTTTGGGTGAAGTGATCGGAGTTTCGAATTTTACTATCATCATGAACTCCACCAAAAAGCAATCTGATGGTCACGTGCTTTATTTGAGAAGGTGAAATGTTTACCGGATCTAAGGATCAGTTGTTAACAACTAACTCATACTAACTTTTTAATCATTACCTTTATAAAAAAAAAATTTTTATTAAAGAAAGAAGAGATAAAAATAAGAAAATGATTGATAGATAAATTTTTTATATTATTTTTTAATTTAAGGTTTTGTGTTATTTAAATAATTTATTTATTTATTTAAAAT